CGACCCTGAGGTGCGCTTCCTCCCACAGAAGGACAGATCGGTTGGCACTACTGCTATAGCGCTGCACATCTTGACCAACCGACATGTTAGCAAGTCATCTTCAAAAGCATTAGTACTATACTGTCTAGCTTCACTGTCTCTCTTTGACATTTAGAATCTTACTCAGAAGACAGCTGAAGGCTTCTTGTTTTCTTGTTGTGTGTTGGGTTAGTTGTTAGGTTTTGGTTTTGGTTTTTTTCCCAAGCTGCTTCTGGAATTTCAAGCAGCAAATCATCGTGCCCAGCTATTTATGGTTACGGAGGTAGAAGATCATTTCATAGTGGAACACAACTTCAGATGGAGGCAATCGAGAAGTCATTGAACTTAGCAGCTGTGCAGCTGCGTCACCAAACCCCTCGTGCTGCCCAATTATTTTCCTTGGCAACTGCTTCCTCTAAGAACTTGTTTTTTCCTGACTATGCCTCAGTTGGCTGTTTGTGAGGGCCTGGCCAGTATTTGTTGAAGAAAGAGAGCAGTTGCTTCTGTTATTCTCCGGAGATCTTTATAGGGAAAATACTGTTTAATATTGACATATTCTCACAGTCTCCAGGGGAGCCTTTTGACAGAAAGGGAGGGGAAGAGGAAGGGAGGATGGAGGGAGACCTGCTCTGCCTGACCTTTCTCCCCAGAGGATAAAAATCAAAAGAGAAAAAATAAATATCTTTTTCCTCTTTTTTTGTTTGTGACTGTTGCAGCCTGAAGCTCCACTCCTGTATCCATGCTCCGTGCTCCCCAAGCATTAGTTCACTGCTAGTGAATATACTGTTGAGCATTTTTAGTAGAAAAATGCAATATAACATTGCCTCGCATGTTTGCCAGAAGATAAAGAATTGGACCAGCCAGCAAGATCTTCTAAGCAACTCTGCCTTAACTTCTGGTGGTTCTTCTTTCTGCTGAGGTTTACACCCCACGGCATGACCTGGAAAGTTCTTCTACAGCAAAACCCCACCAAGCTGTGTCCGCTGACACAAGCACTGGGAAGGTCTGGATAAACGACCAAATCTACAATTTGCAGAACACCAAAGTTGCAAAAATAGTCTCCTACTGTGGGAAGAGGGATGGGAACAAACACAGACCTGGATGTTTTCCCCAGGCATGTCCAGTTAAATGAAGATTACAGAAACCCAAGTAAATAAGGGGAATAAAATAAAATAAACATCCTACACCCCCTTTCCCTTTTTAAGTTTTCTTCCTACTTCAAAGCAATCCTCAGACTTTAGTCCTATATGTGGGTACAGAAAGCATACCCATACTATCCATACACACCCTTCCTGGGATAAGCTTTCAACCTTACATGTCTTTGAACACCAGTTCCTGGGTGGTGGTGCCTAAACAGAGGCAGCATCACCTTCTAGACCCTGCAGTGTCTTGCGGTTAAATAAACTTCTCATCAACCTACTGCCCTAGCATTCTGCTATGCACTTGAAATGCTCAGCACAGCACTCCAGACTTCAGAGCTTGGCAAGGAAAAAAAATAATTCCTCTTTCTTCCGGATTTCTGCTAAACCAACAAAGCCTCAAGCAAGAAACAAGGAGTCAAAACAAAATCAAAGGAGTGTGAGACTGCTGTCTGGGATATATGGTGGTACAGAATAGCTGGTGCAAAACCAGTGGAGAAGAGCAAACAGAGCAGCTGCTGCAGGGAGCAAAATGCAGAAGTGCAAAATAGCCACTGTGGAAGAAGCCGTGCAGAAGAGCTTTGCACAGACTAGCTGGTGCACAGGCAATCACAAGAGATGTATAGAAAGGAGGGACTGCTGGTTAGGTATGTTGTTGTGCAGAGTGGCTCGTGCAGAACATACAGAACAGCAAGCAGGGAAGACGTTATGCAGAAAAGCTGCTGTGCACTGATTTTATGTATGTGTGACATTTCTGCAGCCTTTTCAGGCCTTTTCAGATCCCCACAGACCAAAATTCCTGGAGCTGCAGCAGGTACGACTGCTGGACCATGAGAGTGCTCTGTGCAGCACAGCAGCCACAGCCTGCAATTCACCAACTTGCTTTGTCAGCCTTTTACAAGCAGGCAAGCCCCCAGAATCATGCACCTCTCGTGTGATGTCCAGTTCCCTGACAGAGCTACAGGATCCCCTGTAAGGGAAGGAATTCTCTTGGTTTTCCTTGCTTGCAAATAGAAAGTGCCTCTCTTTCCAGTGACGACATATTTTTTAACTGATATCAGAGGTACAAGTGCGATGGAGCATTTGTGTAGTCAGGGAGCAGATAGCCACAAATAATCAACCGTAGGAGCTGCTACGTGGTGCTCAAGGAAGATGACAAGGTGTGTGCCACACTGACTGCAGTCTAAAGGCTCTTGCTCCATTATCGGTTCTTCCTGGGGAAAGCCACTAGTGTTTTGGGATGTTACCCTTCCCTCCCATCCCAAACTGCTGTGAGGGTAGAGAGATAAATATAAGATGCCATCCCTGCAGAAAGGGGTCTTCAAGTACCTGGCAGCTGTACAGCAGTCTGGCCCAGTGTCATGCCCATCTAATTATATAAAAGAAACTAACAGACATATCTTCTTTTAAAGATATGTCTAAAATTTATCTCCTAAGAATATAAATTTTTTCTTGTTATTCTGCACTGTTTTCCTTTCTTGTTTTCTGCTTCACCCATACCTTGTCTTCCTAACAGCCCCCATTTCTGTTTACAAATGGTATTATATCATGCATGGTGTTATCTCATTCCTGTCTTCTTCTACTGTACACTGAGCCTGAGAAGTTGTCTTTAACTTGCTCAGCCCTGCAGCAGGCACAGGTGGGCAGGACAGGTGAGAGGGAGCTCCCCTGCAGGGGTTATCTTGCTGGCAGTGCTGCTCAGCTCCCACTGCAGACCCTGCTGGGCTGCAGCTTAGAAACACCCTGAAATGCTCATGTCTTTCATATTGTCATTGCTGAGCTCTCTCTTCCCTTATTTTGCTGATTAGGCCTTGCAGAAATAATGAGGAGGCTTTAGAAATCTTTGTGGTAATAAAAGAGTGGTCAGACTAATGAATATCAAAAACATTCATCTTGTTGACCCAACCTTGACTTGGAAAAGCTGCAGCTGCCAGTTTCTTTGAGATCAAGATCACACTTTTGTTACTTCTTTTTTTTTGCCTGAGAGACACAGCCAGTAACTGCTTATAACAGAAAAGTTGCCTGAACGTTTTGTTTTAGACACCGACTGCCATTTTATTTTATCTTGGCCAAGAAACAAAGATAGCAAGGTTGTGTTACAGACTTAAAGTTAACTGCTGGCATCAGCAGATGCTGACTCTATCTTAAGACCAAGCAATTAACCGTTGCAGCTCTGGCCAATGTCAGGGGGACAAGTAGCAATTAATGAAGCCTACTCTTGTATCTCAGCAGTTAAGGGTCACACCACAGCTGAAATGACACAGACACTCCTGCGGCCAAAGGAAGTGACAATGCTTGCTTTCTGAAAGAACCTTATCTGACCTTTATTCCCTCAGTGAGATCTGCTACAATGCAACAGCACTTGCAGCCTTTAAGATGTGTAAGCTCCACAAGATTTTCAGAGAAAGCTTAGAAAAAAGGAACTGTTGGTAGAACACAACAGTTTTTGATGAGTAAGGCAACAGCTGTTCTCCCCTCCATACAGTGTCACGATTAAACGTGCAAGGCACTTGACCAGTGCCAACAACTGTATTGTTTTAATTTTAGTGCTGTTATGTCACTTTCAGACTCTATTCAGTATTATTGTAAAAAGAGTTGTTATGCAATTTATTTCAAAATCATTACTGTGTTGTCTGGAAGCCAAAAAGCTTCTCCTACAGTAAGAGAAGCTAATCACTGTGTGGGTCTTCTTACCAATTTGTTGGTCAAAAATCTGAAAAATTAGCAACAAACTCATGGAAATATTTTGTCTGATATTAATCAATAGACAGAAAGAGTCAAACATCCCTCACAAAATGTAAAATGGTAGTCCTAACGTGGTACACACGTATGGATAGCCTTGACTTTAGCCATGACAGCATCCTTCTGCATGCCATGACTATCCTAAGTTCAGAACATGCTTTTGCTTTTTGCAAGCTTGGATGCTAAGGTTGTATCTTAGTGGAAAGGAGTTGATCCCTCTGAATATGGAATACTCAACAGGTACAACTAAGTATCTTTTGTTGCAGGGGTGAAAACAGCTCTTCTTTTAGTGACAGCATGGGCGTCACGCCATTATTAAAGACATGGGCGATAATGTGATGGAAAGAAACAGTATTCATTTTTAGAAGAAATGTACCCCATCCACCTTTCAACCATACAGTTGCAGTCACAGCCAGCCAGCAAATAATGAACAGAATGCTCTTTTCAGCATGCCTGGCATTGTACAAACCCAAAGGTGCAAGGCTTGTCACAAACAAATCAGTTGGTATAGCCAGAAAGTCTAGACGTGATGGCAACCTAAAGGTTCTAGCTGCCCCAAAGATACACTTTGATGCAAAAAAGAGTTAAACAAAGACACAAGAACCAAGTCTCAAACGCACAACTTGCTGTAGAAAATGCTCCAGATAGAGACACTCCTCTGTCTCTTTGGGAACGGTAGCAATATTCGTTAAGAAAGAAGATAATTGTGTGGTTTAGGGTACCTAGGAGATCTGGACTTAGCTCTTTGCAATTTCTGTCCCGGGTTTATCACAAAAAAGTCTCCCACGCTCTAGCTGTAAAACAGGGTTAATAGTGCTTCCTTTCTGCTTCTTGTCACCTACAGGCAGAATTGAGGACAACAGGATCCCAACTAGATTCTCTCTAAATGACATCAAAACACAATTCATAAATATGAAAAAAGTGTAAATAAATGACTTGTGTGCAAAGCATTTCTAAACATAGTCTAAATAAGGGCAGAATAATTATACCATAGGGCTGCAAAGGGTTTTCATCACATCAGGGCCCAATTTTCTGTAAGAAAATTTTCTCTTGGGAGAGTCTATTCCAGTCTGACAGAAAGGGGAGGGGAGACATACTTCTTTAAAAAGAGGTTTACACCAACGCATTATTTGTGTAAACTTTAATCTCCTTACAGTAGAAACATACACAGTACAAGCCAAAAGTAGTATAACAATTTTACAGCAAAGCTTACCAGTAAAATGCAAAACTATTTGTATCAAATTCTTAAAAAACTGTGCACTTTCTCAAACTTAACTTTGTTCAGCACATCGTTTTGATTTATATATAATAAGGCATTAATTCTATAAGAATCATTTACTATATTCCAAAATCGCATGACCTAGGTGTAACACTCTATAGCCTGATACCATTTTTGTTTCTTTCGATATTTACAGATTTAATCTACCTGCATTGACATGTAGCATACAAGCAGTAAGAACAAATACAAGCTCTGCCAATACTAGTTTCACATTGAAAAAGTTACATAAAAAAAGCTCAATTGTGCATTGCAATAGCTTGGTTCTGCTGCAGCCATGACTGTAGTTTAAGAATAATTTCCCTTTTCGGCATGCTTCCTCACTTCCAGTAGTATTTTCATCTTTCAAAACACAGAACTGAATCTGCTCTGAACCTGCAGGAGCTGGAAGTGGACCCCATTTCTACCAGCTACGCAAAATTTGTTTTCCTCCTCCCCCTCCCCAGAACAACACAGTTCTTAAATTTCTTTGAAAATTAAATCTTCTATAAATGGCATAATTTAATTCATTCTAGCTACTATGTACAGAAATGGCTCAGGCAATTAAGTTAGTCCACCTTGTCATTAGTCAACAGGAAGTATAATTACTGTAGCTGTAAAGGAGGTATCTAGTGTTCCAGAATAAGTGAGTTTAATTATGGTGAGAGCTTCCTCAATTCTATTTACATGACAACTTCAGGCTCAATGTTAAATAGCAAGTCATCATTTCCTCTTCGAACTTCAAGTAGTAGAGGTGATTCATTCATCACAGCCTCTTGCAGGTCACTGGAAGTCACCAAAGGACGCCCATTGACTTTAACAATAATATCTCCATCTTGGATCCCTCCTCTGCAAAGACAAGAAGAAAAAGGCAGTAAGTATGCATTCTATGCAGAGAAAAAGTACAAAGACTATTCACCACCTCTTTGGCTGATGTGATAAATTTTTACTTGTTTTAGTTTCCATTGAAGGGAAATTCCACCCTTCTGACTGCAACAGAATAATCGGTAGTACTCGCTAAATGCAAAATCAGGCTCGCATTATTTCATTGAGGATTTTCTTCTAAAACAGCAAAAACACACCGACAGTAAAAGTAGTCTAGCTTTCTCTTTGTCTTCCACAAAACTACCGCAAAGGAGAAATAGAAAAGAATTTAGCCATGACTGATTCACTCCACTCCACCCGTTTGCAAACATGCTTTTATCTCTCCAGTATGTGTTTTAAGCATTGGAAATTAAACCACTCTCAAAAGTTCATGACAAGCAAAGTGTTCCGACTGAACTACAGGTAAATTATTTCTCTCTTGCTGTTCAAATGTAATCCAGAACAGCTGCTTTTATTGCCTTTGCATTTTCTTAATAATTTCTAAAGTAATATTTAGAAGTGTTGTCTTTATTTTCCAACTGTTCTGTAAAATAGTCTCTTCCTCTAAGATAAAGCATTGTCTCAGATAATAGTTCTGACAATGTCTTATGTGAATGCTATCCTGTTTCCTATTTAAACTCAATCCAAGTTTCTATTTATCAATATTTAACATACTTTTCAGAAACAAAATTTGGTTCATTGTATTTGGGGTGTTATTTAAATTTGCACTGTTAGTGTTTCATAATGTCATTTAAAAAGTTCTGATATTGAAATATTTCACTTTTGTAGATGTGAGTAGAATCTTAGCACAAAGATTTTTAACTTTTTTTTTAACCTAAAGACACAATTTTTAATTGTTTCAATACAAATCAAGACTGGTACGAGGAAGTACTTGAATATAAATAGAAATATTACCTACTAGTATCTATTTGGAGATTTATTTACGGTGAGGAAAATAATGTGCTCTACATACCTATGAGAAGGTGAGTTTGGAACAACTTCATGTACATAAATTCCACTTCTGACATCAGGAAAATCAGCATTACTGTGCTTCAGTTCTTCCACCAAGCTAAAAGAAATTATATAGCATTTGATTCCACTACGAAAGCAGTAGCATTCAAAAATTCTTATTTATTTATTCTCAATTTTTTTGTGACCAAAAATGAATGACTTAACAGTTAATTGTTTGCCCCTTGTTCTTGTGATAAGAATGTAGGGGATTTGAATTTGGATTAAAACACGTAGCATAGATTTTAAAAGAGCCAAAACTATTTACCTGTGCAAAACATGCTATATTATTTCATGGTCTCGTACATCTCCTGCAAGAACCTGACTTTTGCTATTTGTAGCAGTAGCACAGAGGGCACTGTAGAAGAGTACAGGGACAGTACCCCAGAGAACACAGGGACAACAGCACTCTCTGTCCCAGGTGCTGTACAGGGACAAAAGATATTCCTGCCCCAAAGAATTAATGCTGTTGATGGGGCAGAAATTTGCTAGCGATTTTGCTTCTTTCTTTTTGCAAGTCATTCTTAATTTGTCTTTATCTAGAACAATACAACTTTTGAGAACTTCAGTCATCAGATAGATCAGAACTGTGAGAGTTTTCCAAGGAAACTTCCTCAAGTTTTCTTGAGGAATTGTTTGTGCATCCCTTTCTGAAGAAAGAAGACAGGAACCAGCTGCAAAATAGAGACTTTAAAAACATCCTCTCATTTCTGAGGAGATGACATCACTTCAGGTCTGTGTACAGTGTGGGTTAAAAGCCATTTCTAGAAAGAAAGGGTTTTAAACTAATGATGGATTACTCTGCTGTCCGCCATGAAAACCTGGGATCCCTCAGATGGAAAGCAAGCCAAAATGGCCGCACACAGCTTCACTTCATTTGATTTTGTACTTAGGAAGCTAATAATTAAACGACTAAGGCAAACACACCAAGGGAAGTAGTCTTTTCCTGAAAACAGGCCTGGAGACATCTTACACTGCTTTACTAGATGCCACAAAAGCAGTAAAATCTCACATCATGTTCACTTCACAATTACGTAGAGAAACATTCTGAGTTTCTCTCCATAGGTGGTGGCCCGGTGATGTTAATGCCATTACACTGATTTGTTCCAGCTGAGGATCTGACCCTTTCGGGAGGATTGCAAGAGTGTAACTCAATAAACAAAGATGGCTTTACTACAACCCCAGCTGGAATTCGTCTTGTTTAATTTTGTAGTCTACTGCCACATTGGAAACGTGCCTACTGCTGGGAACTAACACAAGCATAAGAGCCCTCATTTGTTATCCCAGAATATATCCGGGTAATGGCAAGACACAAAGCAATTTGAGAGAGAAAAGACAGTAAAGAACTGGAGGAGGGTGTCCATCTTCTGGCTTTGTTAACATGGAGGCATGAAGCTTTAGTTCTGCATTTCAGCAACTACTTTCTTTCCAGTTAATGGTTAGACACCAAATCTCACATCATATGGCCTCCACTGGCACTGATAAAACTACCGCCAAACCCTCAGGCAGCTAATCTGTCACTGGCACTCACGGTCACCTGAAAGCAAAAGCTTGTTTAAATGTCACCTAAAACCTGGTGTAACTCCAGACATCCTCGCCAAGAACCAAAATCAGTGTTCAGGCTCTTCCTTATTTCCCTCAGCTAGCAACAGGGCAGCTACCATTATCAGTATTTAGAGCATGACTGACAGTGATTTTCCAGGTCTCAGAACACATATTTCACCAATATCATTAAAATATTTGCAGACTTCCTACAAGCTAACGCACAATTCTGGATTCTCTGGAGATTTGTAATAAAAGCTGAATGAAGTTCTGAACCGATATTAACCACAACG